ACCCCAGAGAGCAGTCTGTCGTTAGAGACGGATTTTCCTTGGCTCCCCCTGCCCGGCCCTGTCCGCTCGGCCGGACGGGGTCGGCTGCGGCCCTACGCCGCTGCTGCTCTGGAAAGATTTCTCCGGAAACTCGTGCGGGGCTTTAACCCTCCTTTCTCCCTCCGCACACCCACACGTGTACAAGGCCTGAGACCTGCGCTGCCAACGACTCGCCTTTAAAAAACAACTCTTCCCCCAACCCCCTCACAGAAACGCGAACGGACTTAACCAATTCCACGTTTAAGTCTCCCCCAGCAAAATAACCTGCAAACTTCTCAACAACTCGAAGGGGGGCCCTGACGGCGGGCCATGGACCGAGTCGGGTAGGCGGGGCGAGCTGGGCCGGGGGCGGGGTGCTGGCTGCGTGGGCGGAGCCGCGGTTGCTCCGGAAGTTGCGCAGCCCAGAACTTTGCACTGGACAAAGTGTGCTGAGTCTCACCTCGAATTCCCCGTGTTGGGGCGCCGTTCGAGTCTCCCGCGGGTCTGGCGTGGGTACACGGTGTTTGCACCCACTTTGCCTGGGATGCGAGCAGCGTCGGCGCTTTGCTTCTTTATTACCCAGGCCCTTTACCCGAGCTGGGACTTACTTCCTGGAAGCCCGCCCATTCTCCCACTTTCCTTGAAGTAGGGCTTTTGTGCCGGGACAGCAAGGGAGGGGGGAAGGGAGAGGCAGAAGAGAGTTCTGGAAAAGGGGCTAGTTCTTGGAAGAACTGCACTAGAGCGAGCCCTGGGGAGAACTGGCTTGTCCCATGAATTAAAAAGATTTAATTAACTAAAAAGATTTCCTTGGCGCGCGCGCGCGTGTGTGTGTGTGTGTGTGTATTTTAAAGTCAGAGGGGTAAGATAAGCCTGTGCTGTTCCTACTTAACCTTGTTGCACACATTTTTAAAAAACTCTACACGGAAGGCAGACGGGATCTTCAGGCCGCCCACTGCAACCCTGTCGCGAAACGTTGTGGAGCTTTGATCGCAGTCCTCAGCCCACGTCCAGTCCTGCTGTGCGGGGTGGGTTCGACTCAGCCTAGGAGCCCAGAGCGAGCTCCTGCACTCAGGGCCAGAGCCTTCAGTCCCCGGCCTGAGAGAATCCACAGGGCGGTAGGCAGGCCCAAGCCGTGGGCGCTCCTGGGTCCGGAGGCCAGAGAGAGAACTAAGCGGCTGCGCCCGGGCAAACTAGCCTGGCCCCAGGCCCAGTGGGGAGCGCCCCAGGAAGCGCTTTTCCGGTCCCTTCCTTCGAAAGCCTGGAGTTGAGATCGCTGCTCAAGACGCCTTGGAGGAAGCAAATGCGGGAGCTGCACTCCCACCCCAAAAGGTCGGGGCGAGACCGGCCCATGTCTGGGCCAGGTCTGAGGAATCTGCACGTTGGCAGCATACCATCCCAAGCTCGAGTCGCTGCTAGCTTCCAAAATTCGAGAACAGGAAGGCCCAAGCAGTAGCACCTGCCGGGGCTGCGTAGTACCAGCGGGGTTGTAGGCCTTTCTGCACCCTCGTTTGCTCCCAAAGGCCTAGGCCTCTGGAGAGCCTCCGGCAGCCCACTGCCAAAACCATGTGAGGACGTGACCGTCCAGGACTTTCTGCTTAGTGCGTTGCGTCCCCCAGACCCGCCAACTGCAGGTTCAGTCTCCCCAGGAGGCACGCAGCCTCTGCCCCACACCCCAGAGGGCGGCTTCGGGGATATCTTGGGGTGTGCTCGAGTAGCTCCCCAAATAATTGAAGGAGACAAGGGCATTATTCTCACCTCAAGAAATCGATTGCTGGTTACCCCACCGAGGCCTCACTAGACGTTTGTTTCCCCCTTTCAATTTGAAGCTGGCCAAAGAGCGATGCCTAGAGGCACGGACAGTGTGAGAGCTAAGTCCATACTTGGGAAGAGAGGGCTCTTTTTTCCTCCGCATTCAAAGGGCTTTCTGCACGCCCCCGGCTTCCAGCGTCACCGTGGCCGCGATTAAAACGACAAAATAGGAACCCTGACCTCCCCCTCCATGAGAATCCAGCAAAGCAGAAAATGTCCTGATGTATTATTCAGGACAATATGAAACTGTCCTTTTGATTGTTTCTTGAGGTGAGGAGCAGCTGGTGAGACTCCCGGCTTTGGAGTCAGAGCATCCGCAGGTTCTCAGCAAGGACACCTGCATTCCTCAAGCTTTTACACACACCCGTGAGATTGTGTGCACGCCAAGGGAAAGAACCACATCCACACATTATCTTTTAGCTTTTCACTGTTAATATCTGTCACAATTCTACTGAGTTAATTGTGGTTTGAAAACACGCCCCACCCCAGAGCAGAACGCGAATGGGTCCAGTCGAGTGAGGTTACATTTACTTGTAATCCTCCCCTCTCCCTTTCCAGTGTCTTTGATTATTTTTCCCATAAGTGGAGAAGCAGGCCGCTCCTCCTAAATGTGATTCGGACCATATGCTTTCTACATTCATTCCTGCTTAGGCTTTTCTTCTCCACACTAACTGCTAACACGTTATAGTCACCTTGAAATTTCCTCTGCTATTTTCCAATTAAAAGCTTAATAGCCCTGGAAACGGAGTTCATGTGGTGAAGTTTACCATAGCCCCTTGTTCTAAAAGGCTTTCTGCTGGGATCCCATTATGTGCTTGAATAAACCCTTTCTGCAAACAGAAATGGGACTCGGGGTTGTCAGGTGTTGGGTTACAATAGACTTGGAGGCAGGGGACATTTTACCAACATAAATACAAACCTGTCCCTATAGGGAGATGTTGTCAAATACTGGGATATGGAAAACATTCCCATCAAATATGAGAAAAGGATTATTATGCTATATCAAATGAGTATTTAGATCTTGGGTCCCGATGTGCACTGGAGTGAAACGAGGCCTGGGACCCAATAATGCCAGACTGAGTGGCAAAGAGATAGGGTGGCTAGGTGACTGAGGGAGGAAAGGGGGTCGCTTTGCTGGTGGGAATGTCCCCCTGCCTTCAAAACCTGGTGCAGAGCTCTGCTACTTTCCTTAAAAATAAATAAAAATATTGTACTCCCAAGGTTTTTACAGCACTGGTTTCCCTGATCATTTGGAGAAAGTCGGGAGAATTTTGGCTTTGAAAAAACATCCGTGGTCTCCGTGTAGCCAAGAGACCTGGAGATTTCAGTGCAAACTATCATTTCCAGAGTCAATGTCATTCTAAGTCCTCTGTATCCGTCACATGAAGCCACGGGCTGCCAACTCCCCACTTTCTGGCCTCTGGCCTCTGGCCTCTGGCCCACAGGGCTGTGGGTGACCTCTACCTCCAGTCCAGAGAGCTATTAAGTTCCTTCTGGTTGTGGTGCTTTAGGGCTTGTTTTCCCACTGAAGATTGGAAAAAAAGGAAGTATTGAAGTGGTGGTGGGAGGAGGGGGCTTAAGGGAAAATCCGAGGTGTCCGCGCCCCAAGGGACTTTAGGGAAGGCCTCCAAGGGTTAGCATTCTAACGCAAGGGTTCCTGCCCATGCCCCACCAGGTCAGCATCCAGCGAGCCCCACCTCCGGACTGGCCTGAACCGGAGCTGAGGGTGGCTCTAAGGACTTCTAGGGAAACGCACACAGCTGGGGTATCGTTTGAATCCTCCCCTCCTGAAGTCGCCCTTCTACGCTGAGGGTTGCCCGTTATGACTCAGGGAAGTGCTTTATTTGAATTCCCAGCAAACACAGAGAGACGTTTCCGGATTGTTTGTTTGCTTCCAGGGCGGAGAAATACGGCCTTCCCTAGGGAACGAGGACCCGCTGGGGCCAAAAGATTAACCATTGCAGCGAACTCGTCTAGGGTCTGGTCTTGCATTCCCAGCTCCAAGACTGCCATCTCCCCGGCTTCACACCGAGCCCTTGTGCTGCCCAGCGCCGCCGTATCCACCTGTATTTTGTTCTGTTTGGGGAGAGGGTGTTTAGTTGTCCCTGTGTTTATGGTGGTAGTCCGCATCAGGTCAAAACGGCACTCTTAGGAGATTAGAAACACGCAAATACAATTTGAACAAAGTTTTATGTTGCTATCATGTGCAAGGGCCCCCTCCACCCCTACTGAAAGACAATGGGGTGGGGGAGAAAAATGGCGCCAACCACATGCATGACTAAATCGAGTCCGTGTGGATTTGAATTAAGTAGCACGAGGTCTCCGTTTGACGGTTCAGTGGCAGTTGGGCAGAGGAGAGATCATATGCAGTAACTTTCGAGCCGTCATTCTGAAAGTTTAGACCCAGCACTTAAGCAGCATCTTCACATGAGCGTCCCTCCCTCTTTTCAGGACTGAGACTGTTCGTTAAAGCAGGGGAGGAGGTTAGGGAAATAAGCTCATCGCCAGAGGAGGTACTACGCCTGCAAAATGGGTTGTCATCTTCGGGCCAGCAGGTTTTCAAAAACATTCATTTTCTTTTATAGCAGTACGATTTATTTTTTTTAAAGTTGCAAAGGGATATAAAAAAAGAACCAAGATTTTCCAAACCAATTCCACGGTAGGCTCCGGTTCTCCCAGAGCTGAGTTTCTGCAGCTAAGAATTGGGATAAAAGCGGCCTCAAGCTCGGTGCCGCCAAATCAGGCCCGGAGGGAAGGGAAGGGAGGGAAGGGAGGAAAGGGGAGCGGCCACCACACTCTCCAACAGGCACCCCCACCTTCACCACGCTGGCCCTCCCCTTCCCCGCCCCGTGTGTAACGCTGCGTCCCAGTCCCTCCCTCCCGGACTGGGGCAGCGCAGACAGCTTGGAGGAGGGGGTCGTGAGCGCCCCCGCAGGAGCGGCCCGGCTGCAGGTGGCAAGGAAGGTGATGAGGGTCAAGAGAAGAGAGGAAGGCGTGCAGCGGGGTGGAGAGTACACGGAGACCGGGGCTCTGGCGGGTGGGGGTTGCAGTGGGAGGGAGGAGGAGTAGGGGCGGTAGAGGAGGCGCTGCGGGCGGGTAGCGCGCGCGGGAGCTGCAGGCAAGCAGGCTCAGACCTTAACCAGAGCCCTCGCCGGCTCCTTGCAGCCCCGAAACTCCTCGGCAAAGGAGGACGTGCCGACCAAAGCAACAGCTGGCAGAGACGCGGCCGGCGTGGGATTGGCGGAGTACAAGTGACGGGCTGGGGCTGCGAGCGTCGCTGGAGTTGTAAAGACGCACGCAGCACCCCGGGCCATTCCGGAACGCACGCGGCTGCCGACACTGCGGGATCAAGGGCAGCGTCGGCCGCAGGCCGCCCCTGAGCTGGCCTCCCAGCTCTGCTGTCGGGCTTTTCCTGGCCCGCTCGCGCCGCCAGCCCTCCAGCTCTTCCGGGAGGCCGGGACATGAACGGCTACGGCTCCCCCTATCTGTACATGGGCGGCCCGGTGTCGCAGCCGCCGCGGGCGCCCCTGCAGCGCACCCCCAAGTGCGCGCGCTGCCGCAACCATGGCGTGCTGTCTTGGCTCAAAGGTCACAAGCGCTACTGCCGCTTCAAAGACTGCACCTGCGAAAAGTGCATCCTCATAATCGAGCGGCAGCGGGTCATGGCGGCGCAGGTGGCACTGCGCAGGCAGCAGGCCAACGAGAGCCTCGAGAGCCTCATCCCCGACTCGCTGCGCGCCCTGCCGGGACCCCCGGCGTCCGGGGACACCGCTGCGGCCGCCGCCCCGCAGCCGCCACCCACCTCTCAGTCGTCTCAGCCGTCGCGCCCCGCCGCCGAGTTGGCTGCTGCCGCTGCGCTGCGCTGGGCCGCCGACCCCCAGCCCGGGGCGCTGCAGGCGCAGCTGGCCAAGCCAGGTGAGAGAGTCTGCGGGTGGGGGGTGGGTGGGGCAGGAAAACCTTTGGGAGTGCCTGCTGGGGCTCTGCTTGGGAAGCCCAGAGGCAAATTTAGGAAAGTGGGCCTTGCTGGGCCGTCCTACCCCCCAAACTCCTCCAGGCCTGTTCTTTTTCTCCGGGCAGTAGCCGGCCTTCCTTCTGGTTGAGGCAGGTGAAACGCAGACGCTCGCGTTTTTCGCGTTATGCTAGAAACAGGACTGCTGAGCGACAGGCTCGCGGAGCGTCATCCCCAGGTTATACAGAAACATGTCCGTTTTAGCGGGTAACTAAAGTGGTCGTGACAGGACCAAATTAAAATCCAGGCGAGCCTACACACACCGCTGTGTGGCAGGGTTTTCCCGGCTTAGGACTTTTTTAAAAGGTTGGGACGGGGAGGTGCACGGACGGAGCCAAGGCCCAAGGTTTGGCCGACCGCGGGCTGGAAGTTCTGGCCCCGAGGGCATTGGAGCGAACCCGAAGCCTGTCTAGCAGCCAACTGTGGCCTCCAGAGCCTTGCAGTTCGTTGAAAGAAGCCTCATTTAGAAGCACTAGTTAGAAGAGCCAGGGAGGTTTCCAAACTGGTAAGCGAGGACCCAGAATGTGGTGCATCCAGAGTGAGCTCCTTTGCAAATCTGCTCGTGCCCTTCAGTAAGTTCCCCAGGTCGCCTTCTGCCGTCTCTGTGACTTAAAGAAATACTACAAGCAGAATTTGACTTAGTTTGAGGGAGGCCAAGTCTGGAGAGCCCTTTCCCGGTTCTAGGCAGGCCTGGGCTTCACTTTCCAAGATTTGTAGCAAAGGTTCTCTATCTTTCTCTTACCTCTCCTCCCCCCTCTACTCTTGTGCTGTGCTTTAGAGAGAGTGGGTCTGCCCTGAGCTCTAGAGGTCTTCTCCACCTCCCTGATTCCATCCTCTCCCCTCCCCCAGGTCTCTGGGATCTGCAAACCCTAGTTGAGGTTCCTTTCTCCTTGGGTATCTCTAGCTTGCTATGCTGCCCGGCCCAAGCACTTCTTCAGTTTCAGGCTGTTGGAATTCAGTTGTATTTGGCGTTTCCCTTTCATTGTGGCAGGTATGCCAGGGAAAACCCATCTTCTCAGGGGCATGGTTAAGGAGTGTGCTGGAATTCAAGAGGGAAGGCCCTGTAGGGCCCAGAGCCTGGAGGTTAGGAGTGGTAGATCCTCTGCCGGGGTGGGGTGGGGGCGCCGCAACACACACCTCTAAGAGTCTAAAGAAGTCTGCAAAAGCGCCTGGCTTGTAGAGAGGGGCTTTCAGGAACAGTTGACTGCTGTGTGGAGCTGGGGAAATGCAGACTCACTGGTTGGGGGTGAGTTGATAGGCAGCCTGGCAGGCACAGTTTTGCTGCCCTATTGCTCAGTTGTGCTCACCAGGCCTGAAGCTCTGAGAACATCGTATGTGAAGAGCAGAACTGGATATTTTCAGAAAGAAGAAAGTTTGCTGAACATTGATTTTGTGGCTATTTAATGCAAGGTAGTATCTAAGCACTTCTGTTGAATAATGCTCTCTATTCCAGTTGTCTTTCTTTCTTTGGTCCGATCTCTTTATATGAGTAGGTTTGCCACAGAGGAATAGGAGGGAAAGAGATAGAAGTCTATTTTGCTTTTGTCCTTTAGGTTAGAACGAATAACTAGGAGAGTTTTGTCTCAGTTCTAGATGACGTTGATCCATGCCAATAATTTTTCTTAACCTTCCTGTCTCCAGTTTCCCTGTCTCCAATTCCCCCAGCGCCAGAGCAGGAATCTGAGTTCATGTCAGTAGACAATAGCATTTTGCAGTGGCCATCTGTATGGAGCACCCCTGTAGCAGGGCCTTGGATTTGTGGGTCCTAGTCCAAAAGGGGATTCTGTTTACATACTGTGCCCTTCAAATCATTCCTTGGGATGGCCAAAGTGTGAGGTTTCTAGAGTCACGAAACCAAAACCAACCTTAGGAGGCGGGTAGTGAGGGCAAAAAGGTAGAGCCACAGCTGCAGCAGCAGAAGAAGGATACAGGTTTGGGAGAATGAAAGAGGGAGACTTATTTCAACTGGACAAACCAGACCTGGCGCTCTCTTATTCTAAGTATTCAGGAATAGCCTGAGCCCTTCAAGTTGAAAGCAGGTAATCGCACAAGAGAATAGGATTTACCATAGGGAGAGGTCAGAGTGATGGCTTTGGGAGACTGAGCCACCAGGGACCAAGGGCTCAGCTTCTAGCTAGTTATGTTGTATATTTTGTGCATTCATATATAAATTTTACTTTCTCCTTTCAATTGGTTTGACCCTGTGATTCTGTTTAAAAAAATGCCAATCAATCCACTGATATTGGTGGGGGTGGGCAGGAAAAGAACAGGTAATTGTCTCCATTAGGAAGGCAAGCATACAGGTGGATCATTTTCATTCATTGCTTTGTAAGAAAGCCCATTTGGGGTTTAAGAGAAAATTGCTTGGATGAGACTACATATTCCTGTATGTATTATACCTTTTTGCAATTGTTCTTATTATGATCTGTTTCTATATAACATACTAGTCACATTTAGAAGTATGCCAGACACTCCTGGACAATTAGTTCACTGCATGTAGAGAAATAAATGAAGCTCTATTCAGATGGTAGGCGTGCATGTACAGTAAGTTCACTGACCATGAGGAATCTGTAAATATCTACTGGCAGATGATAGAGAACTGAGATCTCTGTGTCTAAAACATGGCTGGTCCTTTTGCAAAGAGCTTCTTTAGTCCACAGCTGTGGAAACTTTTCTGTTGTGGGCTACAGATGCAGGTGAAAAGCATATGCCCTAGACAAAGGTCTGTTTGCTGGGCTCCTCTGGAGAAAAAAACACCCTCTCAAGGGAGTGCCACATTAACACCAAAGTTTAGTTTTGTAGCTGGAAGACATCTCCAAGTTCTGCTTTAGAATCTTTAAAGGATGGGGGGTTGCTTTATCTAACAGTGTAGTGTGTTGAGTGTCCCTTTCCATGTGGTGAAGGTTTTAGGGAGAATTTTCATAGGGTAATGTTACTATTTCTAACTATGGATTGAAACATTCTTTTGGGGGGGGCTACATTTCCCCTGCTCCTCTGTTATCATCCATGACTGGCCTGGAATTATTAGATTTGATTAGGCACAAAATTCTAACTTAAGCTTCTTTACATATATAACGTCGATTCACTTATTCTAAATTCTTCTTCATCCTCCTCCCATGCCATCCGATGATCTCCCTTGAAAATATCTTAGTAAGTGTGACAGCTTTCAGCTCTTAGTGTATCTGAGTCAGCAGCCTTAACCAGCCAAGCCAGCCTTTCAGGACCTGGGCTCAAGAGCTAAGGAAAGTTAAGGGTCAAGACCAAGGTGAGAGCTAAAGTTACATTCCCGTGTTGTGGCTCCCTTCCCCCACCCTCACCATTTCCTTCAAGGCAGTGTCCTGGGTCTTCTCTGACTGTGAGGAGAGCCACCTGTAGCTATAGATTCTTTCTAGGTCTACATTTGTCATCAAAATAAATATGTACACAAGTTCTTTAAAGTCATCTTAAAGGAAAAAATAAAAAACATCATATTTGGTTAGGAACAGGAGAGCAGGATCAAATAGGAAAGTGGGGTCTCCTTTTCTGTTTATTTCTCCTGAAAAGGGGCCAACAAGAGATCTACGGTGTGAGAGGTCAGGAGCTCTGGAAAAGTGCCTTTATCCTATTTTACCTCCAGCCCTGTACCTCATAGCATCCTTATGTTTGCTCTGGGCCTTTTAGCTCCAGTTTGATTGGGTCCTGTCCAGTCTAGTTCCAGTTTTAAAGAAATTTAAATTAAATTTAAAAATCAAGACAAACAGAAATACCTGAAGTATAATGACCGGGATAGAAAACCTCCGAGACTATGGGCTAGAAGAAGATGGAAAAATGGGAAAAACTTCAAAATCATTTATGAAGTGTGCCTTTGAACTTAATAATGGGGTCTGATTTAAAATGGCCTGATTTAGCGTGAGGGCCCCAACTCAGAGTTGCACTGTAAAAACCAAACCCACCCAAATGAGAAGGAATCAGTGATAATGCACTACTGGTCTCTTCCAAACCCAGCCCCACCCAGGGCTGGCTCCAGGGGCAGACCACCAAGAGTATTCACAGTTCCTGGCCTTCCCCGTGGGGCACCAGTCGATTTGCTGTGGTATGGTTGGTCACGTGCGGGGGGGGGGGGGGGACAGGGACCTCAGGAACACTCTCGGGGAGGAGAGAAAACCAAAATCCAGGGAAAGGCACATGCCAGCTTCACTGCACCACTGTCCCCTTGCAGCCAGTCTCTGGGAAACTGCAGTTGGGCCGGTCCGTGCGCTGGCTGGGGGAAGGGGGCACCCCAGCCTGCTTTCTTCCCGCTGCTTCGAGGTCCTTCCTCGCTCACCTACGGAGACTTGGGAGGGACCTGGGGACAGGGAGCCTGAGGAGCAACACTTTCCGTGCATTTCTCTCGGCTGCTTTTCAGGCCATCCCCTCCCTCCTTGCTGGGCTGCCAGATTAAAAAACAACAACAACAAAACAAACAAACAGAAAAACAACCATTCAAATAAAAAAAACAACAGGATGCTAAATTTTGCATGGGACATACTTAAAAGAAAAATTCTTTGGTATGTATCTGAAGTTGAAATTTATCTGGCAACTCCCTCCTCGGCCATCCCCTCCCAGTTCCAGTCACCCAGGAGTGCGCCCCATGGGGCGGGGGGTCCCTTGTTTCCTTCTTGCTTCTCCCAGCTTCTCTCTCTGGAGCCCACGCTGCCATGGCCAGGCATTGAATGGCACTGGTGTCCATCTTGTGATCTGAGGACAGGGCTGGCAGGAAAAACCTGAGCGGTTCCCACGTCTAGAAACCAGAGTTCCCCTGCCATCCGGGAAAGAATCTGCCCCCTCCACCCAACACACTCCTCTGGGTTATAAATCTGGCTGATAGCCGTGCTCCGGACTCACACAACCAACTTTTCTTTTCCCTGATGGATGAACTCCTGGGTTT